TTTTTTTTTTTTTTTTTTTTTTTTTTTTTTTTTTTTTTTTTTTTTTTTTGTCATGTAAAAAGGTTGCATATATTTATATATATATATGTGTATTTTTTATTATGATTAATCTTATTTAACTGTTATGTTTTTCTTTTTTAGAATTAATGAACATAATAATTCTAATTCATCTAGATTCATCTGTTTTAAATAAGAATCATCAAATTCCTTTAAAAATCTGTAAATAAAAAAATTTAAAAGTAATTTCTATTAAAAATTATCATTTAACGTTTCTTATTATAAATAATGATAAATAAGTCATGTATATAAATATATATTTGTTAATTTGTTTAATTTCTTGATATAATAGAAAAAATGAATATATTTAATCATTTGTTTATTTTTTTTTTCTGTTATTTTGTACTAACTTTTCAGCATCTTTTTCATTTGAAGCGTTTTCATTTACGTATTTTTTTAATAAATCAGGAAATTTCATATTACTATTAGCGTAATCTTTTAAATCTTGAAGAAGTATATTCTTTGGCTCATTATCACTCATTTTATCAATGAAAAAAAATAAAAATAATAAAAAAAAAAAAAAAAATTTAATATAAAAAAATACTTTTTGTACAAAAAGGAGAAAGAAAAAAAAAAAAAATGATATTTCGAAATACAAAAAAAAAATATTAAAATTTTAAAATTTTTAAAATACTGTTTTATTTTGTGATGAAATATTTTTATGAAATTTTTTAAAAAAGGTAATATTTTTTTGTATAGTTGAAAAAGTATTTACGCAATTAATGTATATTTTTTTTTTATAAATTTTGATTTAATTTTTTTTTTTTTTTTTTTTTTTTTTGTTAAAAAAAATTATCATAACTTAATAAGCTTTAAATGGATAAAACTAAAAACTTTAAAACAAAATATATTTCTTAGAAAATGTTTATATATTTTTTTTTAACAAAAAAAAAAAAAAAAGGATTTTAATTATGTAGAAAAATATGAAAATAATTTAAAATATAAGTAAATTATATGGAATGAATTAAAAAATACAAAAAAAAGAAATAAAATAAAAAATAAAATCAATAAATATATAATAGAAACTAAAAATGTATAAAAAGCAAGTATTATTATTATTTAAAAAAAAAAATAAATTAGCTTTAACACATATTGTTAATATAAATTATAACCAAATATTTTTATTCTCTATATATATTTATATATATAAAAAGTATAACTATTTGTTTTATTTTATTTTGAAAGTAGTCATCAATGGAATAAATTTAAATATTTTTTTTTTTTTTTTTTTAAAATTCTTCTAAATTCATAATATCAAAAGGAGGAAAATCTCCCATTTCAATTGAATTAATATTTCCAATATATCCATATTTATTTCCTTTACATTCAAATAATAATTGGTTATGATAAAATCCATCTGAATTTCCTAAAGGTTCATCTAAGTCAACCCCAACAAAAATTTCACTGTTATTTTTTAAATTTCCAACATATTTTAAAATTCCTCTTCTGTCTCCCATTTTAACTCTACATCTCCCCCCAATTTTATATAATTCTTCATCATATGCATTATATGTATTTTGCTCGTTATCATTTAATTTAATATTTTCTTCTTTTTTTTTCTCCCTTAATTTTCTTAGAAAAGTTCTGACGTTATCTGGTCTTTTATTATAATCTTCTTCTTTTATTTTATATTTTAAATGCTTCAATTTTTCTAAATTTTCTTCATCATCAATATTATATAAATCATTCGTAAATGTTTTGCTTTTTTCTTGTATATAAATAGTGTAATTATCTTTAACATTATAATCATTTAAACATAATTTATCATTATTTAAAAATACTTGAGTTTGTTCAACATTTAACTCATCATATGCATACAAATTCATATTATCACAAGGAGTTCCTGTGTGTGTATAAATTTTTTGTTTTATATTTTCAATTTTGTCAAATTTATTTAATTTTATTTCTGTCCATTTTTTGTTTTTATATAAATTATGAATTAAATCTACTTTTATATAATTATTCATGTTCACGAAAATGAAAAAATATACTATTTTACTTTATATAAGAAGATACTTTTTTTTTTTTTAAATAAACTTTAAAAATTAACATATATTTCTATATATATATATGATCCTAAATGTTTCTATGAATATTTTTTTATTTGAATATATTTTTTTTTTTTTTATTATATATATTAAATATTTTTAAAAAATAAATGATTTTATATGGATCAAAAAAATTTTAATATAATATTTTTCAGTATGTATTCTTCTGTTTCATATATAGTTACTTATAGTTTCTTATTGACAAAATTTTTTTTTTTTTTATAAATAGCATAAAAAAAAATCTCAACATTAATAAAATATTTTAATGAGATTTTATTTTTATTCCCTTTTTTTGTTGAATTTAATAACATATATATACATATAATGTTAATAAAAGTGTTAATTAGGAATTATATTTTAAATAAATTTATTTTACAAAATATTTATAAAAACAAAGAATTTCTTCTTCTTTAAAATTTTTGCTATAAGTAATATTTATTTTAATAAGTTATTTACGATATTTTTGTAAAAAAATAATATACAAATTATGTATAACAAATTTATTACTTTGGTATTTTAATTGTTTACAGAACTACGTATATTTAAAAACTATATTTGTTTTACCAAAAATTTTTTTTTTTATTTTACTATATTTGATTTCATTACTTTTTATATATTTTATATACTCATTTAATTTTTAATTATTTATTATTTTTTTAATTTTTTTTTTTTTTTTTTTTTTTTATGCAAATAATAATATTTATTTATAATTATGAAAGTAATAATTATTCTACTTAAAAAGAGAAATAAAGAATTAATAATAAATACATAAGATAAAAGAAACTAGAATTTTTTTTTTTTTTTTTTTTTATTTTCTTATTATCTATATTAGTCTATATTTTTTTAATATTATCTATGTTGATAAATATAAAAATTGCATCAAATAAATAAAATTTTTCATAATTTTATAATTATTATATCTATTACATTTCAAGTATATCAACAATAATATTATCATTAAAACCATAACAAATTAGAAAAGTTTATGTTTTTACACTCATTTAATGAATCTTCTTACTTCTACTTTTTTCAAAAAAACTATTTTTTTAAAATACATTCTTTTTTTATGTTTGACACTTTAATTATTTTTTTAATAAAATAAACTTATAAATCTGAATTCAGTTTATGTTTAATATTTTTAATAATATACTTTTTAAATGTAAAAGGGCAAAATGTATTAAAAATTTGTTCCATGCAATCAAATTTTTTTTCTCCATTTAGATTTTCATTCAACACTTCAAAATAATTAGAGTGAAATTTAATATAAAGATTCAAATAATTATCTTTTAAATTTGAAATTTTATCTTTATTATCGTCTATTTTAATATGCATATAAATTGTATTTTCATCTATATATTCAATTTTTTCATAAAAATTTTTATACTCTTTTTCAATATTTTTTAATTCTTCACTCATTCTATGTAACTTTTAGATAATTAAAATATTTTTAATTATATTTCTATAAATTAAAATAAAAATAAAAATAAAAATATATTCTTAATAATATTATTAATTTTTAACATAATTCTTGTGAATACTACTAATTAAATTATTTTCTTTTCTTTTTTTTTTTTTTTTTAATTATAATAAATTATTTTTTAATTTCAATAACATTCTTACTATTATTTTTTTTTTTTTTTTTTTTTTTTTNAAAAACAAATAAAAATTTAAAATAATTTAATTTAAACATTAAAAATTTTTTTTTTTTTTTTTTTTTTTTTTTTTTTTTTCATATATATAAAAATTAAATGTAATTTATATTTTAATTTTAGTTATAACATCTAACTGTTATCACAAAAAAAAAAAAAAAAAAAAAAAAAATTTTTAATGTTTAAATTAAATTATTTTAAATTTTTATTTGTTTTTAGTTACATTTATCCAACTTCATAATTGTAATATTTATTTTTTCAAGATGATGTAAGGAAACAGAAACATATAGATTGAGTATTTTTTTTTTTTTTTTTTTAAATTTTATTAGATATGCATTTTTCAAAATATGTTTTTCCATCTAAAAGAGAACAAAAGAAATATTTTTATTCTAAATTTAGTTATTTTATTAAAAAAAATTTTTATATTTTAAAAAAAAAAGTTTTAATTTGGAATACGAAAAATAAGTTACTATTCAAAAAAAAAAATAATGAAAACAACTTAATAGAAAAAAAAAGTTTTTTAAATAATTCTTTGAACAATAATTTAATTTGTTTAAAATCAAATTATAAAAGTAGTTTAGATTTAAAAAATCTTTATTTAAATGAGCAAATTATAATTTATAATATAGTTTTAAAAAATAATTCAATAGAAAATATAGATGTAGAAATATTATTCAAAACAAATAATTTTACGTATAAGGGAATTGAGAATTTTTCCTATCTTGAAATATTTTATAGAAGATTAAAAAGTAAAAAAATAAAAAATAAATTAATAAATATTTACAGAAGTAAAATTAATAATATATATAGCAATTTATTATTTTATCATTTTAGCCAAAGAGTCAATAACTTTTTGTTACATAATAATGTCTATAAGCAATTTTCTTATGTTCTTCAATTCTTTTTTCATAAAATATTAAATATTAACTTTTTATTATATAAAAAAAAAATCACAAAATCAAAATATGTGAAAAAAAAATTTTATAAAGTAAGTAAGATAGAAAAGTTTATTCAAAATTATATATTTAAATTATTAAACAATGTTTTTATAAATAATTTTTTGTTCTTTTTTAAATATTCATCTAACAATTTAACTAGATATAATGATAATGTGCTTATAAAAAATAATAATATAATTAATAACACAAAATGTGTAGAAGAAAATGGAAACATAAATAAAAAGGAGGGAAAACTATTTTGTATTAATGAGTTAAACAAAAACAAAATAGAATTAGATAGAGGAAAAAATAATAAAAATAATATTCCATATTTTAGAAGAGTAATGTATAAATGTGTTAAAAAAAAAAATTATTTTAATTTTAAACTAGATATTAATAACAGACATTATTGCAAATATAAGAAAAGAACCAATGTTCATATATTTCAAGATTTTAATGTTTTGAATTTGGATAGTATATTTTTAAAAGTAAAAAATGGTAATAATAGTGATCTATTAAAAACAACATTTGAAGAATTTTTAAAGACACTATCAAGAAAAAATAAAAATAGAAAAATTTATCTGGAATCTTTAATTAAATGTTATACACATATTTTTACTTTTAATGACATATTTATTGTCGACAAGGAAAATGTAAATAAATTTTTTTTTTTTTTTTATTATCATTCTTTGAATAATGGTTATACTTTTTTTTTTTATAATAGAAAAGTTGATTTAGCAATATCAAAAAAAAACAATATAAAAAGAAAAAGAAAAGTGAAAATAAAATCATTAAAATATAATATAATTCCAGATTTTTTAAAAAGAAAAACAAAAAAAAAAAAAAAAAATCAGTATTTTTTAAATTTAAATAATGAAGAATTAAAACATAACAGTTCCGATAATTACATCATTTTATTTTTGTATGATTTGATTTTCAATTTTAATTTTCAATTTAGTAATTACATAAACTATAAATATAATGTTACGAATATTGATAGAAAGTATACTGTTTTAAATAAAAAAATTAAAAATAAAATTAAAAAAGGGAGAATAATTTTATTTACAAATGACAAAAAGATTCAATCCATGTGTTTTAAAATGAACATATTTTATCAGAATTGCTTTGTAGAAGAAAAAAATAAAAATTCTGTTAAAATATGTATTTTTAGTGAAATCTTAAATAAAAATAAAAAGAAAAATAATAATAAAGCAGATAGTTATAAATTGTATGCTTTTTCTAAAACTTTTCATATCTAAAATTTTATTTTTGATTATTTTTAATGAAACCCTTTAATTTTTGTAAAACACTTTTAACCCATAAAATAAAACTATATAACTTAATCTTACATTTTTATGATATATTTTTTTTTTTTTTTTTTTTTTTTTTTTTTTCCA